TCCAAAGTATGTAAGATGTAGTCTCACCATCCTTGCTTCTAAGGAGCATTCTGGTTGTACTTCTTCCAAGACAGATTTGTTCGTTCTTTTGGCAGTCCATGGTATATTCAATATTCTTCGCCAGCACCACAATTCAAAGGCATCAATTCTTCTTCTGTCTTCCTTATTTTTTGTCCAGCTGTCACATGCATATGAGGCAATTGAAAACACCACGGCTTGGGTCAGGCACACCTTAGTCTTCAAGGTGACATCTCTGCTTTTCAACACTTTAAAGAGGTGTTTTGCAGCATATTTACACAATGCAATGCGTCTTTTTATTTCTTGACTGCTGCTCCCATGGGTGTTGATTGTGGATCCAAGTAAAATGCAATTCTTGATAACTTCAGTCTTTTCTCCGTTTATCTTGGTGAAGGTTGTTTGTCCAGTTGTGAGGATTTTTCTTTATGCTGAGGTGTAATGCATACTGAAGGCTGTGATCTTTGACTGTCATCAGTAACTGCTTCAAGTCCTATTCACTTTCAGCAAACAAAGTTGTGTCATCTGCATAACACAGGTTGTTAATGAGTCTTCCTCCAATCCTTAATTGTTTGTCTTATAGGCCTCTCTAATCTTTGGTTGAAAGGTGGACTTTGGGAGTGACTAGTTCTGAGTTAACAGGGTATCTGGGGGCCACAGTCTTAGGGGTTCCTCAAGTCTCTGTCAGAGCAGTAAGCCTGATCTTTTTTGGTGAATTTGAATTTTGCTCTACATTTTTCTTCTGCTCTGTCTAGGAGCCTCTTTTGTGATCCCTGTCAAAGCAGTCGATGGTGGCAGCTGGGCACTATCTAGTTCTTCTGGGCTCAGGCTGGTGGAGGCTGTGGTTTAGGTGGTCCATTAGTCCTTTGGACTAATATTTTCCTTGTGTCTTTTGTTTTCTTCATTCTTCTTTGCTCCAGACAGAATGGGGCCAATAGATGTATCTTAGATGGCCTTTTGCAAGCTTTTAAGACCCTAGATGCTACTCATCAAAGTAGGATGTAAACATTTTCTTTATGAACTATGTTATACCAATTGACCTAGATGTCCCCTGAGACTGTGGTCCCTAGCCCTCATCTCAAGTAACTTGGTCCCTCAAGATGTTTGAATGTGTCTAGGAAGCTTCTATGACTTTGCCTTGGTCAAGTTGTGCTAACTTCCCCTGTATTATGTGTTGTCTTTCCCTTCACCAATGTTAACACTTGTCTACTATCTAGTTAGTGATTTCTCCTCCCCATCCTACCCCTCCATTGTAACCATCAAAGATTTTTTTTGTGCGGTGTGTAAACCTTTTCTTGGATTTTTACAATAGTAGTCTTTTACAATATTTGTCCTTTTGTGATTGACTGATTTCACTCAGCATAATGCCTTCCAGATTCATCCATGTTGTGAGACATTTCGCAGATTCATCATTGTTCTTTATCGTGGTGTAGTATTCCATTGTGTATATGTAGTATAGTTTTTTATCCATTCATCTGTTGATGGGCACTTAGTTTGTTTCCATTTTTTGCTATTGTGGATAATGCTGCAACGAACACGGGTATGCATATGTCTCTTCATGTGATGGCTCTTATTTCCCTAGGATATATTCCTAAGGGTGGTATTTCTATGTCTAATTTTTGAAGGAGGTGCCATGTCGTTTTCCATAGTGGTTGTATCATTTTACATTCCTAGTAGCAGTGTATAAGAGTTCCAATTTCCCTGCAACACCTCCAACATTTGTTATTTTCTGTTTTTTTTTTTTTTTGATTAGTGCCATTAATGTTGGGGTGAGATGTTACCTTGTTGTAGTTTTAATTTGCATTTCTCTAATGGCTAATGATTGCGAGCATTTCCTTATGTGTCTGTTACCTACATGAATGTCTTCTTTGGTGAAGTGTTTGTTCATATCCTTTGCCCATTTTTTAATTGGATTATATAACTTTTTCTTGTCGTTGTATTCTGTAGATGTTAGAGATTAGACCCTTGTCAAATATGTCATAGCCCCAAATTTTTTCCCTTTTTGTAGGTTCCCTTTTTAGTCTTTTGGTGAAGTCTTTTGATGAGCAGAAGTGTTTAATGTTTAGGAGCACCCAGTTATCTGGTTTTGAGTCAGTTTTGGTAATTTGTGTCTTTCTAGAAATTTGTCCATTTCATATAGGTTATCTAAATTGTTGGAATACAATTGTTCATAATATTCCCTTATAATCTTCTATTCTTGTAAGGTTGGCAATGAGGTCTCCACTTTCATTCCTGATTCGGTAATTTAAGTTTTCTCTCTCTTTAATCAGCCTACATAAAGGTTTGTCAATTTTTTTTTAACCTTCTCAAAACCAACTTTTATTTAGTTTATTTTGTCTGTTTTGTATTCTCTATTTCATTTATTTCTGCTTTAAGCTTAATAATTTCTTTTCTTCTGCTCAGTTTGGGTTTAGTTTACTCTACTTTTTATAATTTCTTAAGGTGGAAGGTTAGGTTACTGATTGGTTCTTCTTTTTTAATATAGGCATCTACAGCTATAATTTTTCAGCTAAACATGCTTTTGCTGCTTTGCATGAATTTGTCTATATTTTATGTTCATTTTCATTCATCCCAAAGTATTTTATCATATCATTTGTGATACGTTCTTTGACCCATTGATTATTTAGTAGCATGCTGTTTAATTTCTACATGTTTGTGAATTTCTAAAATTTTCTTTTGTCATTGATTTCTACTTTTATTCCTTTGTGGTTGGAAAGTAGACTTTGTCTGATTTCCATACCTTTAAATTTATTGAAATGTGTTCAGTAGCATAACATATGGCCTATCCTGGAAAATGTTGTTGCTATTTGTTTGCTATTTTCTTAAATACTTCTACAAAGCCTGTATTGTTTGTCATATGTGGTCATCAAAGCCTCTGCTCAGTTAGCTTAGTGATCAGCTAATGATTGAAGAGTGATTTCTTTTTGTACAGAACTTAAGATCAGGTAGAAGTGAGAATATAGGTGTTTCTCAGATATTTCCTGAGCATGCATACAGCTCTGGGAATGCCCACATCCCTTTGCACGTACATGGCCTTCTAGATACCCAAGAATATATCAAAGTTTTTCAAAGCTCCTATTGACATCTCATTCCTCAGCTTTTCCTTTTAAGGTTTTTGGCTAGCCTGTTGTTTGCCCCACCAGTTACCCATTACCTCAGACAACCGCCAAATTAAACAATTGCCTGTAGTTGTGTTTGAAAAATACCCTTGGGAAAAAGCTTTTTTTGCACTGAGTGAGCTCAATATCAGGTCCAATAAAGACAACCTTGAAAATGGGATCTTCCAGAAAACCACCAGATAGGTCAAATAATGACAGTATCTGGGAACTAGGCTTTGAAGCAATTTTAACCCTGTTCAGCCCCCGTCAGTGGATAGCATGCTGCTGGTTTTCACTGATTGCATGCTATTGGATTTCAAGCAGAGCTGGAGGGGAGAATGGGAAGTGGACAAGTTAAAATGCCACAAAGCTCACTGTTCTTGTGGAAATTTAGCTGTGTTTCTTGAATAAATGCTTCCTGGATCACTGCAAGCCTTTGGTTAATTCTCAGGGTCTAAAAAAGTTGATTTTAATATTTTTTGCCAATTTTTAAAATTTATTTTGTGGAGGAGAGTATTTTTAGAGATCCTAACTCTGCTATTTGCACTGACATCATCCTTATGGAGTCAGTTCTAATTGACTGATTTTTCTCTTCATGATAGATAGTATTTTCCAGCTTCTTTGCATGCCATGTAATTTTTTATTGCATGCCAGACATTATGAATTTTACCTTTTTGTATTCCTACACACATGTTTTGAGCTTTTCTGAGATGCAATTATATTATTGGGAAGCAGTTTGGTCCTTTCTTGTCTAACTTTTAAGATTTTTTAGTGAGACCAGTTCATTGTTTAGTCTAGAGTTAATTATTCCCCTATATTGTGGCAAGACTCTTCTGAGTACTCTACCCATTGCCCTGTGTATATAAGGTTTTCCAGTCTAGCAGGAAGAAACAGGCACTATACTTGGCCCTGTGTGAGTCTTGACACAGTAACTTCTAACCCTTGTGGTTGCTTTTCTCCCTGACCTTGAATGATAGCCTCACATGCATGCACTGGTCAGGATTTTAATGAATACTAAAAGGGGACTGAGGAGTCTTGGAAATTCTCTAGGGTTCTCTTTCTGCAGCAATCTCCTGTTTGGTACGCTGTCCTGAAAACTCTAGGTTCCTTAGTCTTCTGAGAGTCTCTTTAGCTTGGGGTATCCACTGGGCTCCCCTGGGTTCCTTTCCTTGTGCCATGACTTGGAGACTCTCTATCAAGGCAGTAAGCTGGAGCAACTATGGCCTCACTTTGTTTGCTTCCAGTCTCTCAGAGATCACTATCCTTTGTTGCCTAATGTCCAGTGTCTTAAAAGCCATTATTTTACTTATTTTGTCCAGTTGTTTTGGTTGTTTCAGGTGGGAAGTTAAAATCCATTTCTTGTTACTCCATTTTTGATGGAAACAGAGGACTATTGTCCATTTTTTTTGCTGGAATTTAATTTATATATAAATCACTTACCTATTTTACTCAGATAATGTTAGATGTCCTATTATATGTAGTAGAATAAATGTACGCTAAATTACACATAGTTGCTAGACTACAGTTAAGGCTAATAAATGTTCTGTATTTCTAAAAAATAATCCCTAATATGCTTCATTTTTCCCAGGTTGTGCCTATTGAGAGATAAAGTTTCATTCAATCAAGATATTGTTGGTAGTGTAATGGGAAAAAGCAAAGGCACTACAGATAGAGAATCTGGGCTGAATTTGGGTCCTTCCATTTATTGTTAACAACTCTGGGAAAGTTGCCTAATGTCTCTGAACCCTTGTTTTCATCTGTAAAATGAGGCTAATAAAAATGGGATTATTCTGGGGTTGGCATTACATATATTAAGCACCTGGTACATATTAGACCAGATCACTAAATTTAAAGGCATGTTCTTCTCTTGTAATTTTATATTTTTAGTGTGCAGATAACTGTGGATTCAGTTACCAACAAAGGATTACATATTGCATTGGGATCCGGTCTACTGAGAAAAATAAACTCCATCAGCTTCAGCCTATAGACTATCGAGAGTGCCCTGTGCTGCTTTCCCCTCAGGTTTACAAATGCAATTTTAGGAGCTGTTTACATGTGGCCACTTGGAGAGTTGGAAAATGGAGCAAGGTCAGTGTATAAGAATGAATTTAAAACCTCATTGAGACGTTCTAAGTGTGGGATACCTGGTCATCTGTGTGTCTAACTAGATCCTCAGAGTTGTCTCATACCCTTATTGTCTAAAAACCACCTTCTCAGTTGTTTGTATATCTTATCTTCCTTCGTATGCTTGCTATATCCTGCCTGTAAGCAGAGGCCACAACTAATACTTCTTTCTATTCCTCAGAGAGTCTTACACAGTGGCTTGTACTTTGAATAGGTGTTAAGAAATATTTATTGGCTAAGTGAATAAGTGAAGCTAATATATGAGTAATAAAAGTTATTTGGATTATATTTCATTCCCAGTTTACTTGATGGAAAGCAAATAAATATTGGCCTGCAATATTACCATATAAATTAATAAGAACAAACTCTCAGTAGTCTTAATAACCATCATTAATTAAGTTTATTAAGTATTTACAATGTATGGTTGATATAACTGCACAAAATAAATAAAAGGAAGCCAATAACTGAGAAACAATAGAATTAGGCTTATGCCAAAGGATTTCCCCCACCTGTGACTGTCCAGCCTCCAGGATATTTTAGCATCTACATTAGTTCTGTCCACTATTAACCGTCATTTTGTTCCAAAAGGGCCTAGTCTGAGAGGAAGAAGCATAGGTTTACTCGCCTTTGTATCCTGGATCTAGTTTACCTTCACTTTATTCTGCTCACAGTGCTCAGTGACTTGCGGAGTTGGGATAATGGAGAGAAGAGTGGAATGCATGGCTGAAAATGGTTGGTCCAGTGACTTATGTTTAAAGCGTTTAAAACCAGATGCTCAAAAGAAATGTTATGTCAATGACTGTAAGTAATAGATTTAAAAAATCTACTACCTACGTGTTCCTAAGGCATTTTAATTTTAATTTAAAAAGTGCATATTTGTAGTAGTCACATACTCTGCGAAGTAAAGTATATAGATTTTCAGAAGGTAGCAATATTTTTATGATAGAGTCAAGTTCATTCTGTGTTTTTAGTTTGTTTGGTGCTGATAAGTTGTATTCATTTGTCCTTGAAGGTAAAACATTTACCAGCTGCAAAGAAATCCAAGTGAAAAACAACATTAAGAAGGATGGTGAATATTACCTTAACATTAAGGGAAGAACAATAAAGGTATTTTGAAAACAGTTCCTACCTGATTTTAACATTGACCACTGACTTTTGAAGAAGCTGTTCTAGGTGTTTGCATTTTTCTTTTAGATTCATTGTGCAGGCATGCAGTTGGAGAATCCCGAGGAATATATATCATTGGTCAAAGGTGAAGAAGACAACTTTTCTGAAGTATATGGCTTTAGGTACAAGCTGTGTTTTGGACTATCTGCATTTTTACAGGGTCCCTGGGTGATGCAAATGGTTTGCACTGGGCTACTACCCTAAAGGTTGGTGGTTCAAACTTACCTAATGCGCACCATGGAAGAAAGGCCTGGAAATTTGCTTCTGTAAAGATGACAGCCAAGAAAAGCCTATGAAGCAGTTTTACTCTGTAGCTCATGGGATCACCATGAGTTGAAATCCACTCAACGGCAATGAGTTTTTGAGTTTTGGTGCATTTTTATGGTCCTTAAAGCGAATTAGAAGTTACAGCCTTTGGAGTAATAATTGAATAGCTCAAATGGGGGACAAGTAATTCAGAAACAGGTAAAAATATTAGGACCTAAACCAGACGTTTTTCATACATAATAAAGATTTAAGTGTTAACATGTGCTCACAGAGTGATTGTGTGTATTTTCAGAAATTAATTCCAGTGGCAATAGCTAGAAGGATTATAGCTGAATTATTTTTCCACAAACTATTCTTGAATTTCAGATTGAGAGTTTTATATGTCAATCTTGAGTGATTTTTAGCCCTTTCTCGTTTATTACTTATTGACATTAAGTATTAACGAGCAGAAGTGTGTCTTTTACCTCCCCACTTCCAAAATTTACTATTTATCTTCATTATGGTCTAGTAACCATGTCAAAAAATATAAAAATATTCTGATATTAATACAGACTACAAAATCCATATGAATGCCCTTTCAATGGGAGTAGGAGGCAAGACTGTGAATGTAAAAATGACTATCTGGCCGCTGGATACACTGTCTTCAGCAAAATAAGGATTGACCTCACTTCTATGCAAATTAAAAGTAAGTGCATAATTTCTGTTTGTGAAATGAAAAGTCTCCATTTGTTATGAAAGCCTAACAATATATCAGTATATGTGATAGTATATATAGAAGGACCTAACATTGTGCAATAATTAAAAATATATTTTTAAGTCATTAGCTATGTATCTCCTATGCAGTGACATGGATCATGGGGACCCTTAATATAATTTAATGGTAACAACATGGGTAAGACCCTACTCTTCTAAGACAAAACACTCTACCTTAAAAATCCCAACTACATTAATGATAAGGAAATTAGCATACCCACATACTTGTGTAATTTAGGGAATTTAAAGTAATAATTAACATTAATTTCAAATTACAATATACTAAGTATTTTAATATAAATTTGAAACTCCCTATATACATAATCAACTCCCTTACCTTTCTTCTCCTTCCTAAACTTGTCTTGCAAAAACTCGACATTGGTTAAATTAAATCTTTCACGCACTCTTCTCCTGCAGCATGGACCAGAACGTGGCAAATAATACACAGCCATACTGACTGGTGTAAATTTAAATGCATGACTACTAAATATTTACGTGGGCCCTTAATGCTGCTGAGTAACACTATTCCACTTCTCTAGTTCCTTCCCACTCACCTAAATATCTAACTCATACCTTCTCCTCTAGCCTCAGATTTCTAAAATTTCTAACACTTCCACTCTAATAACTCATTGCTGATGATCTTATTTCCAATTTCACTGATAAAATAAAAAAAAAAATCAGAAGAGAATTTCCACAAGCTTCCACGACCGCATTTACCCACCTACCTAAATCTTTACTCATATACTTTGCTTTTCTTCTATTACTGTGGCTGTGGATGAACTGTCCACACTTCCACGTAAGGCAAACCTCTTCTTCCACTTGTGCTCTAGACTCATTGCCTTTACCTCACTCAAGAACATAATTTCAGCAAATTCTTCTTTCTCTTTTACATCATCAGTTTTTCTTCTCTGATGAATCATTTACATCCTGCCTAAAGAAACATGCTCTTATTTCTTTTATCTTAATTAAAAAGAAATCCTCTTGAGCCGCTTGCCTCCAGCCACTGTTCAATTTCTGTTTTCCTTCACAATAAAATTTCTTAAATTATTTATTACTCCGACTCTCTGATTTCTTTTCTCCTATGCTTAACTGAACTCACTTTAATCTGTCTCTCATTTATATCACTCAGAAGAAACAGTCCTTATCAAAATCATCAATAACCTCCATTTTCCTAAATGCAATGATAAATTCTTGGTTTTCATCTTACTTGTCCCATCAGAAGTATTTGGTGTACAGGACACCACACTCTTCTGTTTTTGTGTCTGTAATGGCTACTCTTTCTCCTGTCTTTCTCAGCTTTGCTTGTTCCTCTTCATCTTCCACAACACTAAAGGTTGAAGCGTTTCATGACTTGTAGTCATTTCATTGGAGATTTGATTTAATTTATAGGCTTCAAATACCATATATTAATGACAGTTCCAAATTTATACCTCCATCTTGGACTACCCTGAGCTCCAAAATCCAACTGCCTACTCAGCATATTCATGTGGATGTCTAATGTTCTTGTTGTTGTGGTGTGCCATTGAGTTGATTCCCAATCATAGTGACCCTACAGGCATTTCGAGCTCAATGTATCCAAAACTGAACTTTCAATATTTCCTGCCAAACTTGTTTCTTCTATATCAAATTTTCATCATTCTGGTAAATAACAACTCAATTCCTTCCAGTTACTCTGGCTAAAACTTAGCATCATCCTAATTCCTCCCTTTTTTATCACGTGCACATGAATCCATCATCAAATCTTATCAAGTTAATCTTCAAAATACATACTGAATCTCAATTTCCCACTACCTCATTTGTTACCACGTTGATTAAAGTCCACATCATTTTTCACTTGGATTATTATACCTACTAATGATATTCCTGCTTTAATATGGTACCATTCTTGCCTCTCCCAACCTAGAGTCTCTTCTCAACAGAGAAGCTAAAGCGACCCTGTAAAACATAAGCCATGCCATGTCTTCTGAGCCCTCCTCTCCTAAAAACTGTCCAATTGTTTATCTTTCAGAGAATTCTAGAGTCTTTTCAACCGTCAGCAAAGCTTAACATCATCTTCCTACCCCCATTATATCTCTGTCCTCATCTACCTACCTGTCCTTCTCTTGCACACTCTGCCCCAAACACAATGGGCTTTTTGTTGTTCCTTGAACACACCAAGCGTGTCCCATCCTTAAGGTCTTTGAACTTAACTCTTCCATCTGTCTGCCACTCTTTTCCCACAATTATTTCTATGGTTTACCCATTCATTCCCTTTGGGTCTGTGCTCAAATTCACCTTCTTAATGAGGACATCCTCGACCGCTCTCCACCCTTAAGCTCTCCTTCTTCCGATCTTCTTCCTTGCTTTATTTTCCCCCATAGAAATCATCACTTCTAATATACTACAGTATTTACTATATTACTTGTGTCTCTCTGGTAGAACTCAGTTTCCATCAGCCCCGGTTGCATGCACTATTGTGTTCCCAGTACATGTAATAATGCCCAGTACATTATCAATTTAAATAAATATTTGTTGAATAAAAGTCTTCATTTTCTTTAAGAAGCTTTTACAAACAACTCTCTGGAGAACAATCGAGAAGACAAATCAGAGATAACCAAACAATGGGGAAAATGAGGTTTAAAAAAAACTTTTTTTTGCTGTTGTTGAAAATGTACACAGCAAAGCATACACCAATTCAACAGATTCTACGTGTACAATTCAGTGGCATTGATTACATTCTTCAAGCTGTGCAACCATTGTCAGCTTCCTTTTCTGAATTATTCCTCCACCATTAACATGAACTCATTGTCCCCTAAGTTTCTTCTCTAAACTTTGGAGTCACTGTTGTCAATTTGATCCCATACAGATAAGCAGACATTCTTTACTAACTAAGCTAAACTATTGTTTAAAAAAGACTTCAGGAGATATTTATGGTTTAAGGTTTAAAGATTATCTCAGGACAATAGTTTCAGTGGTTCATCCAGCCTCGATGGCTCCAAAAAGTCTGGATTCCATGAGAATTTGAAATTCTATTTGGCAGGGAAAATGAATTTTGGAAAGAGGGAGCAGCAAGAACAAAATAATGAAAGAGTGAAACATTTTAGTACCATCAGAAGATAAAAATTAATTCAGTTTGGTCTAAATATAATATAAATGGAGTTTGAGGATGGTATCTGGAGAAGGACATCATGCTAGGTAAAGTAGAAGGTCTCAAAAAAGAGGAAGACCCTTAACGAGATGGATTGATACAATGGCTGCAACAGTGGGTTCAAACATAGCAATGATTGTGAGGATGGCACTAAGACCAGGCAACATTTCATTCTGTTATACATAAATTGAACCAACTCAACGGCACCTCACAACAACAACAACATCTTGTGAGAGAAGTTCCCGGGAATCATATCATGAAGGGAAATGTATGCTAAACTAAGAAATTGAATTTTATCTTGTGAGTTATTGGAGCCATTGGGTAAAAGTATAAGCTGAAGAGAGAAAAGATTTGGTTGAAGGGAGAATAAATTGTATCCATGAAGCTGATTGGAAGTTAATGTAATAATTCAGGTAGAAAGTTATGAGGGCCTGAATTAAGGACATGGTCATGATAGAGAGACAGATAGATTTGAAAATTTTGAAGCGGTAGATGCTATAGGATTTGCTGACTGATGAGATGTTGAATATTTAAAAATATTTCCAAAGTAACCAGGTGGATTGTGATATTGTTCGATGAGATAAAAAATACAGCATGGAAACAAGTTTGGAGAAAATGATAATACATTTAGCTTTGGAATGCTAAATTAGAGGAATCTGTGGGTCATTCAGGTAATTATGTCCAGTAGGAGTTTGATATATGTTCTGGAACTCATCAGAATCAGCTGGACTGGATATATACTTGAGAGTCATGATTTTGTAATTGGTTCTTGGAACTAAGGGTATTGGCTGGTACGTGCTTTTGGAAGAGATAGTCACAAAGGATGATTTGAAATTTATGCGTCTGCTCTGACCCAGACCAACACTTAAAGTGTCATCCATAAGCAGTGGGAGTTATGGATAAATGTTTAACAACCAGCTCTCCAGGAAAAAAAAAAAAAGAAGTCAGGTTTGTAGTGTTTTCCAATTTCCATGGTGCACATATTCCTACCATAGATGGTTTCAAGCTACCAGCATGGCCTCATTGTACACGGAATTGGGAAGAGTTTCACACAATTGACTCTTAGAAGCCAATACAAGATGGCTCCAGCACCCCACTGAAGGCTTCTTGCTTTTGGAAACTGCCCTTGGATATATGATAGATCTCTCCCAAAATGTTGCATGTGGAGATTGCCTCCAGAGGACTGGCATCATCACGGGGAATGCAGTAATCTTTCAATCTTCTTGGAAACTAAAGCAATTTGAAACAATGGCACTTCATTGGGATATTATTTAAGTGATTGAAGCATGAAGAAGTTATTGGATCTGTTGATTTTTAGGGGTCCTTCCAGCCTATTTTTGATTCAACGATTCTATTTTTAATCCTTTACATTTATTCTCCAGCACAATAGCCAATCAGTAAATTTTGCTAATACTGTTCCTATAGGGTCACTGTGAGTTGGAATCAACTCAATAGCAATGGGGGTTACAAAAGTAAAATTGAAAAGAATAATAGTATGACAATAATAATAATATGAGAGACAAAAGAAATTAAAATGCTTTTTAACTCTGTGTTTTTGAATATCCTAAACGGATTGATATATATGCTGTATAGGGTCACTATGAGTCAGAATCGTCTTGATGGCAACGAGTTTTTTGTTTTGGAGCCTTGGTGGCACTGTGGTTAAGAACTTGGCTGCTAATCAAAAGGCTGGCGGTTCGAATCCACCAGTCTCTCCTTGGAAACCCTATGGGGCAGTTCTACTCTGTCCTATAGGGTCACTATGAGTCAGAATTGACTCCATGGCAGTGGGTTTGTTTTTTTTTTTTTTTTTTTTTGGTACTCGCATATTACTTTCTTGTAATTTTTGAATCTTTAAATAATCTTTTTTCTTCAGTGGTTTTGCTTCCGACACCACTGCATCTATTTTTCTTTCATACAAAATATAATAAAATAATTATTTTGTTTTTAAATCTTCTGAACTAATTACAGATGTACCTGTCATTTCTTATGGACAGTTATGAGATGAATGTTTTTATACTAAAGAAAATTTATATATTGACAGCCTATGCTAAATACTGTAATTGTGAGACAATTTTTATTTTAAAAAATTGAATTAAAAATAAATATATTTAAGAAAAGTATGAAAACTGCAAGTCTTTCAGTGAAAATTGAAATACAGTCCTGATGCTAAAGAGTTTTAATTATTGTTTTCTAGCTACAGACCTTCTTTTTTCCCAGACAATATTTGGAAAAGCAGTTCCATTTGCCACAGCTGGAGATTGCTATAGTGCTGCCAGATGTCCACAGGTATTTGTTTGATTTTTCCCTCACTATGAAAAATAATTGATACTGTTTCTTTTCATTCATTTTCTTGGGCAGAACACTGCAAAAAAAAAAAAAAGTAAATAGAAAACGGAAAACTGTCTATATGCACTTTAATTTGAAGGTTATAGTTAAACTTTGGAGAAAATGCATCTTTGCCAAGTTTGCACTTGTTTGAGGGGTATACACAAAGAATTTTAATTTGTTCAGGCCCTGTTTCTCCTCCCATGATGCATTATCATTTTAATCTTTCCACCTAGTCCATGGAAATGAATAGATATGCATTACCAGGTAAAGCAATGGATCACAAGCATGACTGTCATACACTGCTGCTAATGTGAATTATATTGGCTGTCTGAGCCTGTAACATTCCAAGGTTATTTTCTAGCACTTGTGAAATAGTACATTTCCATTTCTTTATTCTTGTTTATGTTTTTTATTTTCAGAGTTCACTTGTCACACTCTTAAATATCATCTCCATGGTTGCCAGTAGAGTATGCTTCCTAGAAGAAAATTTGTCTCATTTTTGACAAGGGATTTTACAAAGTCCATAAGAACAACATGTTTCTGATAAGATGGAAAAATGTAAGCTAGATGAATATAGCATACTTAGATAGATTTATAGCTCACTGAAAAGTCATGCCCAAGAGATACTTAATAACATGGATAACAATTTGAAGAGGTGTAGCTAATGGTTTGCCACAAATCGCTCTTTTTGGAATTTCCTATTCACAGTTTTCATCATATGACATAGAAGGTATGTTTATTGTAGGTATAGAGGATATTTACTATATTAGAGAAGGATAATTAAAAGAGATTTTCAAGAGACACTAGAACTATAGGCTAAAACCAGTAAGGAAAAAAAAAAAAACCTAACAAGAATAATAATGTTGTTAGTTGTTGGTAGGTACTGTTGAGTCAGTTCCATCTCTAGTGGCCCAATATACAACAGAATGAAACACTGCCCAGTCCTGCACCATGCTCACAACCGTTGCTGTGTAGTATAGAGTACATAGTACAGAATAAGCATAGAGCTCTTAATTTAGGCCCAGAATCTCAGATAGAATCTTGCAATGTCATATGAAAAAGACCTGGATGTTTTAGTCAACTGCCATGAGTTCAATATGAGTCATGCACAGCATGGAGTGATTTCTAAATAACCTAATATAATCATAAGGTACATTTACAAAAAGACAGTGTTGAAATCAGGAGATTCATTTGTACTTGACACTGGACTATTATACTTATTTTTGAATTTTTATCTTTAAAAGATAAATTTTTATCTATCTAGGAGTAGGAGAAGGCAACCAGGGAGAAAAGAAGTTTTGAAATCATGTCATGTAAAGGAAATAAAGAAGGAAACCAGGATAAGAGTAATAGGTTATGAAAACTGTTTTAAATATTTAAAGGACTGTCATGAAAGAGGAGTGAGATCATTCTGTGTTACTGTAAAAAACCCATTGCCATCGAGTCAATTGTGACTCATGGTGACCTACAGGACATAGTAGAACTGTTCCATAGGGTTTCCAAGGCTGTAATCTTTAAGGAAGCAGCCACGTCTTTCTCCCGTGGAGCAGCTTGTGGGTTCGAACAACCAACCTTTCAGTTTGCAGCTAAGCGCTTAACCACTGCACCACCAGGGTTCTTGTGTTACTGTAGGAGGCCTTAATAGGGTGACAGGGTCCATGTAGCTCCTCAAGTTGCCATTCCAGAAGTGCTTCCTTTCTTGCCTATACTTTTAAAGGCAGGTAACTTTGCAGAGGAAGTGCATATTCTGAAACTTTGAGGCTGGTTAGCTCTATCCACATCCATCTTTCTACTTCCCAATTCCATACTTCACTCATACTCGAGATCAATAACTACCTCTCAGGTGGAGAGTCTCTGACGGATTATCTTCCATTCAGTTCCATTCCCAGGACTGTCCTTTCCTGGCTGAACTCTCCCTTCTGAAGTCTTGCACTAAGTATCTGTTTTCTTAAGCTATAAACTGGGATTGTCCAGTTTACTGCTACATAATTTGCTCAAGATATTGTAAGAAAAAAAAAATTGGGTTACACAGAAATTGGAGAAAGGAAGTTAGGTAGAAATGGAAATAACTATCGCATCATTTAAAAACCCGACTATGCTAACATCTCTGATTCTGATTTCAAGCTTATCAAGAAATATTCTATTTATGATAGTTAGCATTTTGTTAAGATATTTCCTATGATGGGAAGGTCTTTGAGAAAATCAGAGTCAGGGCCAGCAATAAAATGCTACTCTCTGCCTGTGAGGGTGAGATGCTTTCCTCATGTGGTTCTCTAGGCATTTCTGGAATGCAGAGCTCTATTTCCAAAATTAGATGTTATCTGGCATAGGTATATCCTGCCAAAAGGAGCTATACCCATCTATGTACAATCTGTATTCGTCTGCCAGAGTTTACTATTACCAGAAATACAAACTGCTCAAGTATCTGTGGAGATGCTCTGTCAAATATATAAACCAGATTCTGTGTCAAGTTATACAACATTTGCATGAATAGTCTCCAGATGTTTGATGTCACAGAAAGAACATACTCTATTGTTTGGGATTCATCAAAACCACATCCTCTGTGTTTGCATATGACAAGGCACCCTGGGACATAAATGCTAAAAAGAGAATGGACACATATGGTGCTCCTTAGGGAAAATAAACTTTGCCACATTGTAATATAAGATGAAGTTAAGGAGTGTAATATGACTTTAGAATACATATGTCAAAAGTGAAGTAAAGGAAAATGCTTTGTACTTTTCACAGATGCACAAAAATTAAAAACAAACAATGTGAATCTCTTTCACTGGTTTGTAATTAATATTTGATTATGTGACAGTAAGAGAAATAATCACATTCAGCTGATGCCAGTGGTTCATGGTCAGAGTCCATTCTGAGTGTTCACAGCAAGTTGTTAAATATTTTGAATCTGTATTTTTTATTATCAGGGTGTAGTGTTATATCTCTATCTTTGTATCTGTCTATCTAGCTGTCTATCTATCATCATCATCTATCAGATACACCCTTTTGATTATATTGTCTAGATTTTCTTTTTCCTTAATTGTTTTTGTCAATTTTTTCTTATTAAATAACATACACTAAATATGCTTCTGTTGATGTACAGTTCTATGAATTTTAACATAGGTATAGATTCATGTTACTAACACCACAATCAGAATACAGAACAGTTACATCACCCCAAGAAAAAACTTCCTCACACTCTCTCTTTGTAATCAATTCCCACCTCTCACTTAATTCTGGCAAACTCTGTTGCTGTAGTTTTGCTTTTTCTAGGATGCCATATAAATGGAATCATTGGTATATAATGCTTTGAGATTGGCTTCTTTCACTCAACATAATGCCTTTGAGATTCATCCATGTTGTTACATTTATTAATATTTATTCTTTTCTATGGCTGAGTAGTATCCCATCTTATGGATGTCCTTCATTTATTCTACAGTTTGTCCATCTATTGAAGGTTAATGAGCTGTTCCAGCTTTTGGAGACTTTTGGAGTTTTTACTGCAATTGCATTAAATTTATAGATAACATACATAATAAACTATGTACAGCACATTTTAAAATGGTAAAACATCATAATATAATGCACACACATGAGCCAACCACTTAACCCAAGAAGTGGAACATTATACCTTACGTCTGACTATATGATTCTTCTCTGTTCTATATCCATACCTACAACTGGTGGAGCCCTGGTGGTGCAGTGGTTAAGAGCTCAGGCTGTTAACCAAAATGACGGCAGTTCAAATCCACCAGCTGCTCCTTGGAAATACTATGGGGCAGTTTTACTCTGTCCTATAGAGTTGCTATGAGTTGGAATCGACTGGACAGCAATGGGTTTGGTTTTTCTTGTTATATGCATTTATACATAATATATTTTCTATTTTTGCCATTAAAAAATTATATAATGTATACTATAATATGTAACTTCTCTTCCAGAACCATTTTCCCAGGATTTTGTTTCTAGGATTTCTCTATGTTGTTGAAAATAATTGCCATTTTTTCGTTTTAACAGTATGACTTCCACTGGGTGACTATAACACAATTATCTATTTTCCTGTTGGTAAACATTTGGGATGTGTCTTAGGCTGGGTTCTCCAGAGAAGCAAAACCAGTAAAGCATATAAATATATATAGGGAGAGATTTATACCAAAGAAATGGCTTATGTGATTGTAGAGGCTGGAACATCCCAAGTCTGTGGATTAAAATAGAGGCTTCTCCTGATTCATATAGCCGTAGGGGCTGGCAAACCCAAGATTGGCAAGTTGGAATGCAGGGCTCTTGCTCACAGGCTGTGAATATTGATGAATCCCAAGATTGGCAGGCAAGGCCACAAGGCTTCTCCTGATTCACATAGCTGCAGGGGCTGGCAAACCCAAGATCGGCAGGTTGGGGAGCAGGGCTCCCACTCACAGGCTATGAAGATGGACAAATCCCAAGATCAGCAGATAAGCTGATAGCTCATTTCCCAAGAACCGGAGGTCAGGTGAACAGGAGGCAGTCGCAGGATCCAGAGTGAGCAAAAAGCCAGAACTTCTGCTTATATTCGGATGCAGGCCACACCCCCAAGGAAACTCCCTTTCAAATGATTGGCTACTTACAGCAAATCCCATCATGGGAGTGATCACATATAAGCACTGAGAATCATGGACCAACCAAGTTGACACACAATCTTAGCCATCACAAGATGTTTTCAGTTTCTTGTTCTGTAGGAATTTTATATGAAATATAATAGTGACATATTTTCCTCCTCTGTAGATAACATAGCTGAAATTACTCCAGCTTTACAATGCCTTAATATGTTGTAGGGCATGTGCCTCTCACTTGTTCTTCAAATTTTCTTGATTATTCTTAGTCCCTTTTTAGTCCAAATGAGTTTTAGCTTGTCAAATTTCATGAAAAACTCTGTTTTTTATTGAAATTAAAGTTTTGGGGACTACTTCTAGATCTTTCAA